TCTCTCTCTCTCTCTCTCTCTCTCTCCTTCTCTCCTTCTCTTTCTTCATCTAAGATTGGCGCAAATTTCTAAATGATACTTAATCGGTAAATTCAAATGGTTATTAACCTTGAGAAGATTTAATCGACTCATACTATTCTTACTTTGCCTTTTTAAGGTATATTTTTCTTTTTTTTTGGGCTCATTTAAATGAAATATTACACAAAAAATAAATCAAATTTTGTTGTTATTCATAAATTTTACTATTTTTATCAAAATTTCATAAAAGTACACACAAAGAAAAAGGGAAGTATATAAAATAGAAAAGGAAAAAGAGATGAGATGACATTTTTTTTTTTTGTACATGTCAACGTAAATGTCAACGTCAACGTGCTTATCAAATGATTCAACAAAGATTTTTTCTTTTTAGTGCTATTTTTAACAAATTACAAACACGATTGCTTTTTATTTTTTTCAACCTTCAACTTTTTTTTTCTGACGAAAAAAACGATTTCTAAGAGAACCGGTCGTTTTATTTAACAAAAAATTTGCTGGTTTAAAAAAAAAAAAACGAAAACAAAAAAAAAAACATATCTACTAAATCTAAAAAAGAAAAAGTTTTTGAGATTTTTTTAAAGAAAGAAAAAAGAGACAAATATAACTTCAAGTGCATACTTTGCTAATAAAATTTCAAAATGAACATTGCATTTATTTTCGATCAATCTCTCTTACTTTAAATTTAAATATTTCATTGATTAACTATAAAGCTAGAAAATGTTGAAATGCAATTGTTGACATAAATTGATTTCATCTAACAAATTGCTCATTGTCCAGTAAGAGTAAGAATTGAAGTAGTTACAAGATTTTCAAAATTTAAAGGATTGATCCATTAATTTCAATCTGAAATACTAAACAAAGGACTTTTTGAAAATTTCTTAGTTGACAATATATTCTCTTAATTGTCATAGCAACGTAATTTCTTCCCTTTCATTTCCTTTTTTTTTTCCCTTTACTTCCTTTTCAATTCATTTTTAATAATAAATGTTTTCTTATGAATTGACAAATAGTTGAGAAAAATTAGTGAAAGATTGAAAGTGTTAATTATTTCCGGAATTCTATCACAATTAACAGTAAAAAGTATGATAAGAGTTTTTTTTCTTTTAAAAAAAAAATATTAAATGAAGATTTCTCCTTTTTGCCAAATGACATTAGTGATATTAATATATGAAGAAGTTTGAAAGTTTAAGTTTTGCAAAAAAAAAGAAATTTCCCAATAAAAATATATTAGCTAATTAAAAAAATATTCTATCTATCTTAATATACTAATGAAATCTTTTCCAAATTCAATTCCTTATCTGCTCATTCATTCCGACCGCTCCCCCGTTTGAACGAATATTCGGGAAGAATGTTTGAGCATAATCAATTCAAATAGTTTAACTCTATTTTTATTAATTACTACAAATTATACCGCATATCCTCACTATTTTATCTTCTATAAAAATTATCATCTAAGCAAAAATATGGACAAATTGATGTCAATGAATACTACAGTAATATTTGAGCCAACAAGGCACATTTGAGCCTATCACTGTAATATTTGAGCCAACATGTGCCCAAGTATATATGTTTGGCATCCTATGGCAATATTCATCAGCATTAATTGTCGCACATTTTTGCTTAGATGGTGATTAAATGATAAATTTGCTTAGATGATGATTAAATGATAAATTTGCTTGGATGAGATCAATTTTCTTCCTAATTTTTGTGATAATTATATGATAAGTTTGCTTCAATGATAAGAACATTTGTGAATGAAAAGGTATTGAAATAAAGAAATTTAAATCAATAATGAATCTCTAATAGGCGTCTATTTTATTGATAAGTGTTAGAAAGGGATTGAAATAAATCCAATGATTACTTATTTAAGCAGCACTGATTGATTTCTTTTAAAATTCAATTTATTCTTCTTTCTTTCTTTCTCTCTCTCTCTGTCTCTCTCTTTACTTTTATTAAATTTTACACTAAGTCTTTCCACATTCTTAATATTTCTACTTTATGTGTATATTTAATTTTTTTCTTTTTTTTAAAACTTTATACATATATATGAAATTTTTAATATCAGAATTTTCTTCCTAACTTTTCTGATCATTTATATTCAGTGATATGATATAACCCCCCTTAAACTTTTACTCTTCCACTTTGGAAACATTCATATTTCAAAATAAAAGTTATTAAAAATAAAAATTATTATCAAAATAAAAGTGAGTTATTAATGAACTCATCCAAATTGATAGTTTCAAAAATCTCGAATTTTTACTTCAATTCATTCCAGTGAATGATGTTTGTTGTGATGACATTATGACAGATTAACTGAAAATGAAATTTCAAAAAATACGATTGTCACAGAACAAAGAATACTTATTAGATAGATCATCTATTTAGTTTCAATTAATAATTATATCCCTTGAAAATGTTTGATAATGAAAACATTGAACATATCAACTTAATCATTCCTCTTTTTCTTCTAAATGCTTTCTTTTTTTTACATTTAACGAATTTAAAATTTACATTATCAATTCTGTCTAATTGTTTGATTCGAGCCTAATACTTAAGCATTACGAAATAAGCCTTAGGCTTTTAACATACTTCCTTTGTCCTGATTAGTTATTCTTTTCTAATTTTAGCCTCAATAAATATCATCAACAAATGACAACATTTGGACAAATATAGCTAACACATTAAAGTCGAGTAATACATGCAATTACATATACTTGTGTGTGTGTTTGTCTCTACTATATGATGTGATGTATATGTGTGTGTATCTGCTTATCATATGTAAATGCATATGATATATGTGTATGTGTGTATGTGAAGTATGTGATGGGTATGTTGAAATGATAGAAAGATAAGATGAAGTATATAGTATGTTGGACATTTGCAATCATCATTGGCGTCAGAAGAAAGGAAGGAAGGAAGGAAAGAGTGATTGAATGTTGTTTAATGAGAATCGTAGACATTAACGCCTCCTTTGGTTAGCTACAATACCCTCACTGATTAATCTCTTTGAAAGATCGGAAACTTAAGAGAGAGAGAGAGAGAGGAGGAGAGAGAGAGAGAGAGAGAGGAGGAAGGAAAGG